AGACCGTGAGAGCTAAAGAGGCTCTGGTGAGTGCTGAGTGACAGGTTAAAGGGCTCCAATAAAGATTAGATGGTCCACTATCTCCTGAGGAAATTGCATAAAAGTGGTTATTCCCTCTTGCTTCTATTAATTTCCTCTTCCTGGCTGCTTGGAAATGCTTCATAACCCGATGCTGCAGATGGGGATGAGAAGCGCTTTCCATTATCTCAATCACTGCACTGTTTATGAGACACTTAATCTGTTTCTTTATAAAGTAATAGTACTGTAGGTGATGGATTCAATGTCATTGCAAGTCTGCGTGCAGGCATGGGAGGGGAGAGGCGTTCTCAAGAGTATTGTAAGCAGCAGGTAATTTGTTACATTGTTGTTGAGGCTCTGAGAAGTTGGGTGGGTGTTTCAAGGTGACCTTCTGGATAGCAGCTAGAGGTGATGTGTACCAGTCCTTTGGCACGAGAAGAGGGAGGGAAATGTGTGTTTTGCCTGTTTAATGGAAAACACACACGTTTATGGATGGGAGAGACTCAGGGTTGTCTCTTCCCCTTTGCTGAAGTCAGGGGTGGGAGAAGAGGTTTGCTTTCGTGTATGTGTGTGAGTGTGTGTGAATGCGCATGTGTGCGTGCCATCCAAAATGCCTCAGCTCTGCAAGCTTCTAGGTCTTCTGTCTGAATGGTGATCACTTGAATGGAGGGAAGAAAACGCTCTTCTCTTAAGGAAGAAAAATGATGTAGATGCACCTGTGTCAAAGACCAAGGTCTTACATGCGTACACAGCCAGGTGCAGACCACTGTTCTCTTTCCACCCACCTCCTAGAATAGTAAGGAAACTCCCCTGCTGATGTCCCAGGCAGGGGAGTTTCATTACTGTAAGTTTCATTATAGTAAGTTTCATTACTTCTGATCTAATTCCCCTTCCTACCTCTCCTGTTCTTCCATCTTTCTCTTTTTGCTTTGTCTTTTTCTCTTTGGAATCTTACCTCCTCGCCCTCACAAGAAAATGTTTCCTATGACCCTCACCTTGTAAAGACGAATCCCTAAAAGATGCACATCCTGGAGTACTGGCCCCTGTGCACACACAAGCATAGCTGTATAAGAAGCTGTGTTCTCTCATCTGCCTCCTCCACCAGGAAGGGGACTTCCTGAAGTTTGTAGCCAGCCCCATCTGTGCCCCGCTGCATTCTTCTAACATGGTGGCTGGCTAGGGGTAACCTTTAATCAACATTTGTTGAATGAGTGACTCATAACTGCTGTGATAATGCTGACTGTAATTCTATATTGAGACAGGGAACTTCTGAGTTTTGAAATGATATTAAAGCAAAGAATTGTGTTATCCACCTCAAAATTGCTTGGAAGTGCAAGATGTGCTGGATTAGGTTGAATTACTACTTTTTTTGAAACATAAAGGATTTTAAGCAGGCCTATAGTCTCCAGGCTGCTAGAGTTCTGCCACACTCTGTACTGTTTCTCCCAGCTGCTTTATGTACTCAAGTGACTGACCTGACCCCAAAGGCCATTTGCATTTGCTCCTCTGGGTCTATATATATATATATAATTTTTTTTTTGTCAAAATCTACCCAGAAGCTCCTTTATCATTTCTAATTAAACCTGCTTTTTCTCAAGGGGAAGCATAGTTTTCTTATTTAGTTTTCTATATTAAATGTCTATTAAAATAATAATATTGTCAACTTCATTTTTTATCAGTGGTGTCTGAAACAAGACAAGTTCAAACGGCTTTGTGGGTTAGCACTTTATTATTTGAAACATTCGTTCTCTGAGAAAATGTAGCATGAATGTGGTTACAAGTTACAATCTGAAAGTTTAATAGACAAACTTAGAAATCCTGTTTCTTTTATAAATTAGGGAATGCCTAGACACAGGTCTTATTAAGATATGAAGATATGCACCTATTTTGTAATTATATATAAAATATATGTTATGCAATAATGATTAACTCATTACTCATTATATTTAAAAAAAAGAAATAATCTATGCAGAAACACATTCTTTCATTTGGTGCCAGGATTTATTTACCCACTTTGGAACTTCAGATTTATACTCAAACTCTGAATTCTAAAGTCTCTGCAAAGACAATTTGAATTTTAAAAAGAAATGGGTAAATTGGGGAGGAGAGGAATTAGCATTATTAGCACATGTTAATGATAGCTGCATTTCATATTTGAGATTACTAAATTTTAATGACCTGTGGGAGTTTATTATGAAAAGCATCTGATTCTTTTATATAGATCCTTTATACAGATGAGCAAACTGAGGCTATGAGGGGTCACAGAACTTGTCAGTGGTCACCCAACTAGGAACCAGCAGACCCCAGACTAGCTGACCACTGCCAATTGCTCATGTCTCTGGGGAGGATGAAGTCACACCACCTCCTAGGGCCTCCTCCAATCCTTCTCTGAGCCTTTCTCCTAGACTCCAGTTTAGAACTCCTCCAGTCCATCCCTCCCCTTGGAATTTAGGGACTTAGTCCCCCAGAGCTGCTTTCCTCCATCAGAAACCTCAGAGGAAGGCACTTTTCTAAATCTCTCTGCCACTTGTGGATTTCAGGATAATTGTTTATGCTGTTAACTCATTAAATGTAAAAGGAGAAGGCTTTTAAGTGCTGAAAAGAAAGGGAAAACACTTTGTTCTCCTCAGATTGATACATTAAGAGAATTGCAGTATAGCAGGGACCAAATATGAATGCTTGGATCCTCACCACATTCCCTCCCCCTTCCCAGGAACAGAGCTCCAGTGGTCTGGACAGCAGGGACCTGCAGGGAGCCGGTGCTCTGTGTTCCGCACCTCCAGAACGAGGCAGGGCCAGGAATGCTAGGAGTTTACCATGGAAGGGGCCACATGCTTCTCATAGGAGATATGAAAAGAAAAAACGGAAAAGCGGGAGAAAATAGAAGAGACTGAATTGAGTGGGCTTGGAAAGATAAATTAGTAAGCCAAATTCTAGGGCACTTTGGGCGTGCCATTCAGTGTTTTCCCCTTTGATGTTTTGTTTGTTGGGTCTTTGGTAAAGATTCACATGAGTTCTTCTTTTCTTTCTACAGAGAAGTTTCTTTTGAATATGCTGACATGGGTTGCTAAGTAGCCTGTTTCTACGTAGATCATGACAGAAATTGTTGCTTCCCCTAAATTGGGAAGCTGCATTTACCCAGTGTGTTCCATGGTCCCAGGAAATTCCCTGCCAATTTGGGCTTCTTAGTGAAAAAGCATGGCATTCTATATCCCAATTTTGGAATTTCTGAGAATTCTACACTAAAGAATGAGATCAACTTTTCTAATTCACACTTTCAACATATCTGAATTTTTGTAATAGGTGCTAACAACCCAGAGAACTTGAATTCTGTGGAACACACTTGGACTGTACCATTCCAGAACACTGCGTTTCAGAGATTGCCTCTGATCCAAGTTCGGCTCCCACCTCAACACATACAGAGTAACTGAAACCCTTTCCACTTTAAGTGAGCAATGGAGCGAGAAAACCTTCACAGCATAGGAAATAGTTCTTCCTTCTTGCCTTGGCAGAAAATCAGTGTATATTTTTCAAATAGCTTATATATATGTCATCACTATCATTTCTCCCACTGTGTGGCCGTGGGTAACTTTTTTAACCTCTCCATGTCCCAATTTCTTCATTAGCAAAATGGAGATAATAATAGCTACCCCATAGAGGAATGCACGTAAAGCGTTTAACAAGACAAGTTAACAGATGGTGGCTACTGCTATTATTAAAGAATACTCTGCACTTTCCAAGAGGGAACAATATATTTGAGAAGATGAGCTTTGTATAAGTAGAAGCCATTAGAATGGTACTTCCATTAATGCAGCAATCACATTGTATTATAATTGTAGGACTGTGCTGGATCAAGAGCTCCTTGAAGGCAAGCTCTGTCCTCTGATTACCTGAGTTAGGTTCTCAGGAGGTGTACAGTAAATGCTTGTTGAATAAATTGGTGAGATATAAGAAAGCTAAGTAAATTGACCAGGCAACAGGGGCTCAGAGGAGAATAAGTCAGAGCAAGTGTCTTGGGAATAGGAAGATGCAGCGGTTGACACAGTAAAGAAGGGACTCAGGAAAGTAGGGCAAATGGGATCAATCTTTTGAGGGATCAGCAAAGAGGAGACCAGATGTGTGGACTCAACAGTCTGTTGATAAGACTGGATCAAAGCCTAAGGGACAGCCTGGAGCATGACTTCAGGGCATGACTCTACATAGGCTGATCCCACAGGGAAGTAGGAGAATGTACCTGACATACAAGGGTAGTGTCAGTGGGCATCAGTCTGTACCAGGTGTTCCTAAGCTTCCACACTGCCATGTACACGACATGTCCCCTGGTGCAGTGGCGGCAAAGACATCCTTTTCTTGCCCTGCCCCCAAAGTATCGAAATGCAATTAAGAGAGAATGATATAATAACCTTGAAACCACTTAATGTATTTTTAAAGAATCACTCATGAATTTCAGCTGCTTTCCATCATTCATAACAAGAGAATGTTAACTCACCTCATTGTGGTCCTCATGTGTGTTTCAACATGGCATTTAAGAACAATGAAGCCAGTCTCTTGTCAGCCAGGACCCCTTTCCATCTGAACCCATTGGACAAGTTTCCTCCAGTGAGCAGCTCAGGGGAAAGCCTTGGCTGTTAACTAGATAGAAGGGAAGGAAGTAGCTGTTTATGGAACACTTATGTCCCAGGAACTGAGCTACACATTAGATTCATTTTCTCAATCAAACCTCTTGACACACCTAAAGGGAAAGAATTCTTATTCACATTGTTCAAGTGAGAGAGGCCATTAGATCAGAAAGGTATATTTCACCAAGAATTTTAGAAGAATTGGAAGTGTTACAAGGGGTTTCCTTAATCAGAGATGCTCACTTGGTGCAAGGGGGCATCTCTACATCCTCTTTAGAAGGGAAGTATCTTTTGTTTTCCAGTTTTAGAGAAGGGATTTTAGATGCCAGTCTTCAATTCTCTTATGGTCTCTTTGTGTTCCAGCCTGTCCTGCAGGGATGTTCAAGGCCAGCCAGGAAGCTGAAGGCTGCTCCCACTGCCCCTCCAACAGCCGCTCCCCTTCAGAGGCATCTCCTATTTGTACCTGCCGGACTGGCTATTACCGTGCGGATTTTGACCCCCCAGAAGTGGCCTGCACTAGTAAGTATCTATTAAGGGCTTTGGGCTGGGAAGTTTGGTTCCCTAACAGTGAAAGTAGTGGGTGTGTGCCAGGAAGAGAAGATAATCATTCCTCCTTTGCAATTCAAAGTAGAAACGCTGGCCATGGTGCTGAAACGCATAGCTCCTGTGCTAGGGGTGCAGGGCCCTTCTCTCTGCTCAGTAGCACAGAGTACAGATTATATTCTTTCATCTCCCCTCCTCCTATATGTGAATACCTTCCCCTTGCCAGGGAAGTGAAATTTACGCCCATCAGGTGCTAGCCTGGGGAGTTTGGGGGTATGAAATTAAGATCCACTAGGATACTACAACAATTCCCAGTAACACTTTTATTCACCTTCTCCAAGAAGCTACTCTTGGTCCCTGCCACTAAGAATCTCTTCTCTGTTCACCAAATATCCTATATCTCTGTGTCCCTCTTAGAACTTTCATCATTTTGTTAGCTATCCAGTTTTTCTGTTCTTTTCTCATCTCAGTTGTCAAATGAAGGTCCTTGTGTGCCTTATACTCATCTCCCTGGGTCCCTTCCAGTGTCCAGCATGGTGTTGCACAAGACCCTCAGAGGCCTGATCACAGGGTGAGTTTCCAAGGGAGAAGTTCTAGAGACTAGGACTAATGCATCAGCTACGTCCACTGTCCCATTATCTGCTGCAGAGGGAAGGACAGTCATCCTGCTGAAAATGGGAGAGACAACTCCACCCTCTGGGTATGGATGGAGGAAGGGATAATTTTCTCCCTATATTTATCCCTTAATTCCTTAATAATGGGAAGAAAGAATCAGCACTGTCCCTGCAGAGCACTTTACAGAACTTGTTCTGACTCCCCTAAGCATTGCAGCTCTGAAATAGGGATGATCTCTTTTTTCAGTATTCCCATTGTGTTCAGAGGTCAGTGCTTCACATTAGCCTCTAATTATGCTAGAACTTTCTTCTGCATCGAATGCTGCTGCCTGGATTCCTGTGAGCAGAGACCTTCCCTTACATTTCTTTGTGTCAATTCCCTCCCAGCACAGAAAGCCAAAGGAATACTTGCAGTTTGACGAACAGGAAAAGATGACTGGACTCTGAGTGGAAGAATTTCTTAATTCTAGGCTTCTAGTGTATATAACCTTTACTAGATAAAGAAGAAGAATGAAAGTGTTTTCCAGATCAAGGTCCTGAGCTCGATCAATGCTTATAGATTAGAACTGAGGAAAAGCTCATCCTTTTGTAAACTGATTTTCCCTAGATCTCCCTTTCTGGTGGGTTAATACTAACAGAAATGATTTCATTTCTGCTGACTGGAGTTCAAAAATCTTTCTTTTTTATTTTAGATTTATGGGAGGGTACAAATAATCAGGTTACATTTTTTGCGTTTGTTAGGCAAAGTCCAAATTGTAGTTAAGTCCTTCACCCAGAAGGTGTACTATATACCCTACCTTGTACATGCTAGGTGAGAATTTACCAATCTCTCTCCCCCTCTCCTTCCTCCCTCCCTTCTACCTCTTCCCACCCCTTGAATTTAATTGTGTTTTTCCCTCACAAGGGCATGTCATTGTTGATCTACTAGTTTCGTATTAATGTTGAGTACCTTGGATACCTGCAGTACTTTACTAAGAAGAATGTTCTTCAACTCCATCCAGGTTAATACAAAAAAAGCAAAGTCTCCATGCTTTTTATGGCTGAATAGTATTCCATGGCCTACATATACCACAGTTTATTATTTCATTCATGGGTTGATGGGCACTTGAGTTGATTCCACATCTTGGCAATTGTGAAGTAAGCTGTGATGAACATTCTAGTGCAAATCTTCTTATGGTAAAATGATTTTTTTACTTCTGGGTAGATACCTAGTAATGGGATTGTGGGATCAAATGGAAGGTCTACTTTTAGCTCTTTGAGAATGCTCCATACTTCTTTTCATAGAAGTATATTGGTTTGCAATCTTTCTGCTGTGGTGTCTCCTCCACTGATTTCTGAGGCTCCCTGGGGGACCTTCCATAAACCTAAAAAACATTGTTTAATGTACTTCTTAATAAGTCACTTAAGGATGCTGAATCACTGCTGCCTGGATGTCCAGACCAAAGACCAGTCCACATGGTTGCCATAGCACATGCCTAGTGTATCACTGCTTCCCTCCTGAAGACATGGCCTTCTGGTTCTGCTCATGAAGCCCTCTACAGATGAATTCATGAAAATAAGAGCCTGGCACCCCTAGCTTCCCACCTCAGCAGTCACACCTTGTAAGTTTGTCTGATCTCTGGAAAAGGTCACCAATGACCAAATGCTCAGAATGCTGGTTTGGAGCTGTCCTCCTGGCTATGGCACCTCTCCTATCTATCTCTCAAGGCTTATCTTCCAGCCACCTGATGTAATGCACTTGAACCAATAAGGGCCAATTCCTGGAAAAAGTTGCAACATCCTAAAGCCTCCAGTCTCCTAACGCCTCTCTCTGCTGTACTACCCATATCCTACTTTCATTAAAATCAGACCTCATAGGCTTTTCCATCCTGACTAGCTAGTTCTAGGGTTAGGAGCACATTCCTTACCTACAGTCTCCCCATCTTACCCAGAGTGGGAGTGATTGCTAGATTTGCCTTTGTGTGTCACCACAGCCATCCCCCTTCCCTGTGCTCTTATACCCACAGACACAGAGTGCAAGGGTCAGACCAGAAATAGCTAAAGCAAAGTCACACGTGGCTATGGTGGCCAGAGCCAAGAGCAGCTCACAAATGCATCGTCCAACTCCCTGCCTTGGCCTGCAGGGGCAGGTGTTCGGTGAGGGGGCCCCAGGGGACAGGGCTAGGGTACAACACAAATGTAAATAAACCTATTATTTTATTGAACCTCATTATATATTTGATTTATTGTGTGCCAGGAAAGTACTGTATGAAAAAAGTCAATTTGTTGGCTTTTATAATCTCATTAGGGTTTCCTTTTAAGGCATTCTAATTGGAGGTGCCATCTGTTCTCTTAAAAAGGCATTGCACATCACCACAGTAAATAATTTTCCAGATATAAAGAACATATCTGGAGCTGTTGAGGCAGGGCACAGCCCTGCACTATGGCCTTGAGGGCCCCTGCAGGTCCAGCCCAACCTGAGAGGTGTTGGTCAGCATGAGGAGGACATAGATGCTCATGAACACTGAAAATACAGTCCTCTGCCATCCCAGATGGAACCAGTCACATCCTGCCTGGGTGCTGTGGGTACCCAGGTAAAGACGAAGAGCTTGGTCTTCCTAAAATGTACAGGGCAGTGGGCATCTCAGAGTCCAGGTTCTATGGTCATGGGAGAGGAAGACAGCATCAGGAGAATTCAATAGCTGAGGACTCAAAGTCTGGAAGGGCCTCAGGCCAAGCTTGTAGTTTTCTTTAAATGAGATTGTTATCAACAGCTACCTCATTCAATGACAATATTGAAAATGTCTGTGAAAACTACACACTAAGAATTAATATTTTAATGAATCCATTAATCTGTTGGGGCTGATACATATATATTTCTTGTATTTTTGTAGTGCTATAAGTGTTAATTTATTCCATCTAAACATTTACGCTGCCTGACACCTTTTGTAGCCTTGTTTAGACATTTCTTCATTTTCTTTATAATCTACTGGGAGAAATGGGGTCCCCCTTGAACTCTGAGAGGCCCTGACAGCCCTATGTTTCCAGCTTTGTCCTTAAATCTTGTCAGTGGACTTGGCAGGGATGTGCGTGTACCTCAAGGCAGTGCTAGAGGGGCTAGCTGCTAGGTGGAGTCAGAGAAGGGTGGCATTGAGAGCCCTGTGTTCTGAGTTCAGATCACTGCTACTATCTATAGGCACTGAGCTTTCTTCTCCCTTCTTCTCCCCACCCCACCACTGCCTCTCTGAGGCCTACAGTTCCAGTGCCTGTCTGACTTCTCCCTTTCCCAACAATGGCCCAATACTTGCTCATTTGCCAGCATGAGGAGCTATAGCTGAGTACAAGGAGCCCTTCCCCCCTCCCCCCCACATTCAACCTAACTGGGAGCTTGGGGAATACCTAGAGAAACTGATAACAAGTGACTTCCACCTCTCTCTGCTGATGAAAGTCTCTGAATAAAGACAGACCACCTAGGCAGTGGGGGCACGTTCCATGAGGAGATGCCAAAGGGGAGGGGAGCCGAGGAAGGAGACAAAGGGAGGGGACAAGGGGAAGGTGCATCCCCCAGCAGGGAGGGGTGGCCAAGGTTATGGGCTGAGGAGCTGATTCTAGGCTTTGGGCTCACTGGGTTCAGCAGGAAAAGTCACTGTCCCCTGCTCCTGTGGCCTCCCTGGAGCACTGCACGTAGGCCTTCAGTTTCCTGGGGAGTCATGGCACCCCTAAACTCTCCCAGGAATGCTTACCTATTACCAATTGCATTTAGTGGTTGTGTCTAATTGTTTTGTGTTAAGCTGTGCAGAAACTTTTTTGCTTGATCAGATTCCATTTGTTTATTTTTTTGTTGGCTGCAGTTGCCAATGGGGTCTTCTTCATGAAGTCTTTCCCCAGGCAAATATCATCAAGAGTTTTCCCTCACACTTTCTTCTAGAGTTTTTATCATTTTGTATCTTAGATTGAAATCTTTTATCCATTGTGAGTGACTTTTGTAAGTGGTGAGAGATGCAGGTCCCCCATGTGGCTAACCAGTTCTCCTAGCACCATTTATTAAATAGGGATTCTTTTCCCCAGTCTGTGTTTCTGTTTGGTTTATCAAAGATCAGATGGCGATATGAGGCTGGTTCCCTCTCAAGGTTTTCTATTTTGTTCACTATGTCTATATCTCTATTTTTGTGCCATTACTACCTGGGTGAAGGGCTCAACTACAGCTTGGACGTCACCTAAAAAATGCAAACAATGTAACCTAATCATATATACCTTTATATTAATCTGAAATTTTAAAAAACGTTTGAATCTTGACTGTCCCTTACCTTCTCTGTGACTTTAGTCTAATTTTTTAAGTTCCTCACATTCTGTCATTTTATCCTCACTGCCTCATAAGAATGT